TTTTTATAAAGGGCCGGGGATGTGGCTCAGTGGTTAAATGTCCCTGGGTTCAATCCTGGCATCAAAATAAATAAATAGACAAATAAATATATAAATAAATAAACAAACAAGGCCCTTGGGTTCAGTTTGCATTGATTTCTGCATAGCAAAGTCTCTTTTGACTGTTCACAGAGCCCAGATATAACTATTCACATTTCTAGGGGTTGCTACTTTTTTTTTTCTTTTGGGTACCAAGGATTGAACTCAGGAGTGCTTAACTACTGAGGCACATCCCTAACCCTCTGCTGCAGTCTGGCTGGGCACAAATCAGGAGCCACTCAAGCAGGAACAAACTTTATTTCCGAACTCCCGCGAACGCCACCCACCGGCCCTTCCAGGAACACCCCACAACAACTGGAACTCCCTCCACCAGAACTCCACCAACCACTTGAACTCTCCAGGAATCCCCGGGAGAGCTCAATGGGAACTCAACGGGACCTCCGGGAGAACTCAAAAGTAGCGGGCCTGCGTCTGAGGCAGCAGGAGCCGCCCTATTGCTGGACAGCAGGGGTCCAATACACAACTGAATACACAGCCCGCCTCAATCCAGCACCATCCAGCCACAGCAATCACACACAGCCCAACCTAACCATCATCATCCCAATGGTGCCAACCCCCCACCACCACCACCCCAGCAAAATGCCAGGGGCCATTCCAACTCGGCTGCGGGCCCCCAACACCCTCCTTTATATTTTATTTAGAGACAGGGTCTTGCTAAATTGCTTAGGGCCTCAGTCAATTGCTGAGACTGGCTTTGAACTTGTTATCCTCCAGCCTCAGCCTCCCAAGCTATGGGCATTACAAGCATACACCATCACACTTATTTTCAATGAGGCCTTATTTTGTCAGCAAAATTAATGAAGTCTGACTTTTACAGAAAGGAGATTTTGGCAGCTGAGTTCAAAACTTTTAAAAGATAGGAAATTAAAGTTTTTTTGTTTTTTTGTTTTTTTTTTTTTTAAGTAACTGTCTTGCTCACTTAGATTTGCAACAGAAAAATAATAGTATTTTTTCCCCAAGACTTTTGTAGTTATTCTTCCTGACAAAAAGCACTAAGAAACATTTGTATTAGTTCAGAACAAACATTTATTAAGGTATTACATTCCAGGCACCATTCTATGCTCAAGAAAAACAAAACTATGGCAATCCTTAGCTTCAAGGAGCTTGCTATCTGGCAGAGAGAAGCTGTTACGGATATACCATTTCAGTGCCCCTGGTAAATGGATGATGAAGACACATACTGATGCTCATCCTGGGGCCAGGCGAGTGCCATAGGAACACTTTTCCCAGCCTGGAGATGTCAAAGAAATCATAAGGGGAGCCTTCAATGACTAGGAGAATAGTAATGTGTGTCTTTGCCAATTTGTGACAACAACAAAAATCTATTTTGGATGACTTGTTATCCATAACATTTAATAATAAGCTTGATGAAATATTCCTAATAATCATTGAGGCCATGGGCTGGGGATGTGGCTCAAGTGGTAACGTGCTTGCCTGGCATGCACAGGGCGCTGGGTTCAATCCTCAGAACCGCATAAAAATAAAGATGTTGTGTCCACTGAAAACTGAAAAATAAATATTAAAAAAAAAATCATTGAGGCCAGCAGGACTGACCCATAGGACCAAAATGTTGTTTGTATATAGCAAAGATAGTCTACACATTTAAAAATCATTTCAATGACATCTTATATTACAGAAGAGCCCCATCAACCAATGATTGTGCTGTCCTGCCCCCTGGCTTTTGGGAAGCTAGCTGGAACATCACTTGCTCTGAGGGAGATCTTTTATGAAATATATCTACACTTTGTTCTCTATTTGGACACAGACCTAAAGGGAAGCTTCATAAGCAGTGGGACAGCAGGCAGGTCAATCTGAAGGTTGGGGTCTAGAAGGGATGTACTATTCATCATCTCTTAATCCAGGGTGAAACACTCCAACTCTTTTGGCCTGGATTTCCTCTCTGGTTAGGTGTTCGTGAAACAGATGAATGGCCTTCAGAGTCAATTCCAAGTCTAAGAATCTTAGATGTCCACACATACTAATGGAGTATATTATTCTGAAGACCTGCCTAAAACAAGACTAAAATAACTTCAAACTGTAACTTTTACATAGGAATAGGTTTGAAGCATTGTTTTTAAAGAATTCTAACAGATGCTAAATAGAAAGAATGAATAGGCAGTTCTTTGCTTTCTGGCATATAAAAAAGCATGCAAAGGTAGAAAAAAAAACCACAAAAACTAATAATGTCTTTATAGTTCAGCTTTCTTCTGTATATGCACTTATACTCTTAGGCATAATTATATTCAATAAAAGCCTTCTTTTGTGATCATAAAAAAAAATGATTAGCCAGGGTTTCTGGTATAAAATCAAAGCCATTTAAGATTCAAACTTATTAAAAGTTTTGAAATGAATTATTTCAGTCATTATAATAAGAACAACCTTAGTTAACTTAGAGAATTTAGGTAATTTCTGGTTATGGACATGTAGCCCACTAAGACTTATGCACATAAAGGAGAGAAAAGTCATATATTTAGATGCAAAACAAAACTAACAAAGCAGTTCTTGACTTTCAGGAATTTTTCTTGGTTCTGCTTTCCTTCCCACCTTGGCCCACCCACCCCACCCTCTTCTTAGAGATACTGGGGATTAAATCCAGGGCCTGGGTTTGCACCAGCTAGTTGAGCACTCTGCCACTGAGTTAAACCCACAGCCCACTGCTTTTTTGTTTGTTTTTGGTTTTATTTTGTTTAAAGATATTAACTGGCAGAGCACAGTGGCACAGGCCTGTAATCCCTGCTATTGGGGAGACCGAGACAGGAGGATCTCAAGTCCTCCTGCCTCAGCAAACTGGCCAGCCTCAGCAAACTGGAGGCCAGACTGGACAACAGTAAGACTGTCTCAAAATACAAAACTAAAAAATGTTTTTAAAAAACCACTAGGGATTTAGCTCTGTGTTAAAGTGTCCCTGAGTTCAATCCTCAGTACCAAAGAAAACAAAAAAAGGGCTGGGGAGCTGGGTACAGTGATACTCGCCTGTAATCTCAGTGACTCAGGAGGCAGAGGCAGAAGGATCACAAATTCAATGCCAGCATGGGCAATTCAGCAAGACCCTGTTTCCAACTTTTAAAAGTGGGCAAAGGGGTGAGGGGGTGGCTGGGAGGTAGCTCAGTGGTAGAGAACACCTGGGTTCAATTCTTAGTACTGCCAAAAATAAAAATAAAAAATAAAGATCTTAATTGGCTTTCTTTTCTGATTCTAGAATCAGGCAACACTTCATTCCATTAAATAGAATGTGCTTCCTCTTGTTTTTAATTCCCACAATAGATTAGTTCATCCAGTAGTCAGATTTGCTTCATCACATTGTTGGTCAAGGGTGAAATTCTCATTCACCCATGTACACATATCCTACGGAAAAGACATAGAAGCAACTAGTGATCGCCATGTTGACTGTGACATTCCTCTAGGACAATACATCCTTATGCACAGATCATTATTCACATTAGATAGATATATTCCGATTGCGTCCAACTTCATGAGATCACTGATTCCCATCCTCATCCCCTCCCACTCACCTAGGTTAGGAGCTGTCCACAATTTATAAGAATGTGTTGACAGCACAATCAAAGAGGTGAACTATAAAAATGTAAGACCATCACATAACTGGACAACTTGGAGAAAGATGGTATTATAGCAAGCAATCTTACCGGAATTATTGAAAGTTTGAACTCTTAGACTGTAGAGTAGTTAAAATATAGGGCTGGGGCTGTAGCTCAGTTGCAGAGCACTTGCCTAGCATGCATGAGACACTGGGTTCAATCCTCAGTACTACATAAAAATAAACAAATATAATAAAGGTATTCTGTCCATCTACAACTACAAAAAGTATTTTTTAAAATTAAAATATATATATATATATATATATATATATATATACACATACATACACATATACATACACACATCTAAGTTTTTCTAGCAAGTTGGAAAACAAGCTATTCAAGATTGCTTATGAAGTGATTCTAAGTGAGGCAATATTTCATCCTGAGCTGCTGAAATCTAGGCGTTACACCAATATCTCCCCTCCACCCTACAATCCATCAACCATCTCCAGTTTACACTCAGGATTATGACCAAGTCCACGAACATAAAAGGGAGAAACCAAATAGACATCACACAAAGTTTCTCTGCTTTGAGACAGCAGGAAATTCCAGTTGCTTCATTCACCAGAGCCAGTTAAGCTGGTGAGATGAAATGGGTGTTTAGGGAGATCACTGTGTCAGGACATAGAGTTGATTTTCAGGGTTGGAGGAGGCCAGACAAAGATGAATGAATAGAGTCTCAGCTCAAGGTCAAGATCCTCTGAATCACAAAGAGCTGATGGGTCAGTCTGGGAGAGGAAACAAAATTCAGGGCCAATAGGAAAAAAACCTGAACTGAAAAATCTACAGTTTCGTTTGTAGGTAAGAACACAGGTACAACACGCGGCTAGGCAGAAAGGTAACAAGCCGACTCAACGCTTGCTGAGATCCCCCGACTTTCCCAAAAAGATCCTCCAGAAATCTAAAGAATGTATATCCATGTCAGTGTTCTACCCTTGCTTCTCAAATAGGCTACCTTCTTCCCCCGCCACTTTCCCATGGTTGCTCCTCTGTATACAGCACCCGCGGCTCTTCTCTCACTGAGAGAGAGGACAGAACAGCCCAATTGTCACACTCCGCGCCCATTCCACCAAGGTAGCCAAGAATCTCCCAGAAGCCGAGAAACCTAGGGTGCCACACGCGCCTGCTACCTGCGTTGCCTCCCTCCCGGGTCAGGCAGCCCCCACCCGAGAACCCTACACTCGCGGGGCTCCTGGCTCACACAGCGGCCCCAGAGCCGAACCCGCGCCGCCAGGGGGCAGCAGGGAGCATCTGGCCGCGCCTCCCGCCGCGTTCCCCTCCCCCGACCCGCCGGCCACTCACGGATTTTCACTCGGCGGTGGTCCAGGCGCGCGGCGGCGGCGTGCAGGGCTTCCAGGCGGCGGTGCAACTCAGCTGTGCGTTGGCCCAACGCGACTGCCTGGCCCTCGAGCTCGCCGAAGATGTCTCCGGCGCAGCGCGACAGGTCGGCCAGCTGCGCCAGCAGGCAGACTAGGGCATGCGAGCTGACCTGCTCCAGCGAGCGGAAGAGTGGCGCGGCCCCGGCCTCCACCAACTCGGGCCGGCGCAACCGCGCGGGCTCCACGGTCCTCTGGTGGAAGGGCATGGCGCGAGGCGGGGGGCGGCTCCGGCCGGCGGCGCCGCGGGCCGCCCCGGGCGAGCGCAGCCCTTAATCCGCCCCCCGTCGGCGCGGGGCGCGAGTCTGCATGCAACACAAAGAAAGGTCCCAGGCAGCGGCTGGGCGCCGAGGGGAAGCTCCGCGGCTCCTGCCGGCGGGGGAGAGGCCGGGCAGGAAGGACGCACCGACAGACTAGCGGACTCGCGGGCGGGCAGTAGCCCAGGAAAGGGATCGGGGGTCCAAGCCGCCCGGCGCCTGGTGGCGTCCTCCCACCAGCCGGGATTGCCCTGCCGCGCAGCGAAAGGAAGTTCCCGGAGCAGCTCCCGAGCGGGCGGCAGTGGCCGCGGCGGCGAGTGGAGCCGGGAGTCCCGCTGAAGTTTGCAGGCAGGCAGGAAAGAGCCGGTGGCTCCTTCCCTCCCTCCCGATTGGAGAGGGAGGAGGAAGCGGGGGAAGTGCCGCCGACACCGGGCGAGAGGGAGGGGAGGCAAAAGAAAGGAAAGGGGGAGGAGAAAAGGGCCGGCCCGGGGAACCACCTGCGGCTCCCGCGGCCGCCGCGCCCAGCGCCCAGCGCCTGCGGGCGGTGGCAGCCCGGGTGCCTCAGCGCACCCTGCCGGGGCCCGCACGGCCACACAGTCCCGGAGCTCCCACGTCGCCGCCCACTCCTCTTCGAAGCCCAAGGGCGGTGGGCCAGAGCCTCCGCCCGTCCCCCAGGCTGGGGTGGAGCGCTGCGCGGGCGCGAGGGAGACGGAGGCGCTGGGACCGCTCCGGTTGCTCACCTGCGCTCCTGCCCTCTGGTAGCAGTGAGTCAGGCGCGCCCCGCCCCACGGGGAACGCCCCAGGCCCTGTCTGGGTCCTACTGGTCTCTCCCCTGGAAAGCGACCAAGGTTTCTGGGCCATTTCGGTGGGCTTGAGAGAAGAAGTCATTAAATCATCCTGTGGCCAGGGATTCTGTAGCCAACCAGGAGTCCTACCTAGTCCCAGTTGGAAAAAGCATCGAAGTCCTCTTCAGAGAGCTTGAGGCTTCCTACCCCTCCAACTGGAAAAGTCCTGGCTGATGTGTGCCTAATCTGTTTCTTTACCCAAGCATGAGAGTTGGCCAGCGGGGTACCAAAACCTAGATTGCTGAATTCGGGGCCTGGAAGACTGTTAAACTAAATGCTGTTGAGATGGTGGTCATGGGACACCCAGCTAACTCAAACCTTCTGGTAAGAAGTATTTCAGGAGACTGGGTCCAATATCCCGAAGCGAAAATCCCACTGGCCTCATCGCTATGTTTGCTCAGAAAAGGAATCTCAGTTCTTTGGTTTCTTGCCCCGCAACTGACCCTCATTGCTGTACTGTTACATGGCCCTTTGGGAATCAGTCTCCCAGAGTGGTGCTGATTGTAAAATATGTAAGTGTATTCCTTCTCTCGGGCGCAGGAGCAATGCAAGGCAGATGCACTTGAGGAGAGCTCCACTGAATAAAATTGAGCAGACAGAATGTATTTTTATTTATTTATCATTTGTTTGTTTTTGCACTTTCCCTCTTGCATGGTTGCTTTTACAATATGCATTAGTAATAATCTAATACCACCTACTGGGATCATCTTCAGGGTTGTTAATGAAGCACAAAGGAACTGCTGCAGTGGGTGAAAAAAAAATGCTTTGAAATTTGCAGAGTGCTTTGAAACATTGTATGAACATCAGCAACAGTATGAAAGTGTGCTTATTCCTCAAGAAATATGTGTTGAGTGTCTGTGTAACTGGTCCTTGTGGCCTATGCAGGTAATTCCAGTGACTCCGGAGGCTGAAGCAGGAAGATCCCAAGTTTTCTGGGTAACTGAGGGACACCCTGTATTAAAAATTAAAAATAAAAACGGCTGGGGATGTAGCTCAGTGGTAAACTGCCCCTGGTTCCGTCCCCACTACCAAAAAATCATCCCTGCCATCACGACACTCCCAGTCTAGCAGTAGACCTGCATAATATTTTACAGTTACGTACAATATAACTTGCAGATTTAAAGTGTGCAATTCAGTATTTTTAGTATATTCACATTTTATGCAAACATCAATAGAATCTATTTTGAAACATTTCACCCCCCCTCTCCAAAAAAATTTAATTCTCCCTTACCTTCTACTTCCCTTCACTAGCCATATACAAACCACTTTAGGTTATCTTTATATATCTACCTGTTCTAGATATATCAATGAAATCAAACAATCTTGTGACTTCTTTCACAGTGTAATGTTTTCAACATTTATTCATGGTATAGCTCTTCAGTTCCATTTTATGACTAAATAATAAATATCTCTTTGTATGGATATCAAATTTTGTTGATCCACTCAGTTGATGGCCAGTTTGGTTTTTACTTACTAGACATTATGAGTAATGCTGCTGTGAATATTCATGTACAGGATATTGTGGACATGTTTTCATTTCTCTTGGTTATATACCTAGGAGTAGAATCATGGGATCATATGGCAATTCTATGATTAAGCTTATGAAGAAGTACCAGACTATTTTCTAAAGCAATGGCCCAGTTTACATTCCTACAAGCAATGACTGAGGGCTCCAATTTTTCTACTTCCTTACCAACACTTGTTATTATTTCTCTTTTTTTATTACAGCCATTCTCCTGGGTGTGATTGTTTTGATTTGCATTTCCTTGGTCACTTAAGATACTGAGCATCTTTTTTGTGTGTACCTATTGGCCACTTGTTTCTCTTTAAAAAAAAAAAAAAAAAAGTCTGCTCAGATTTTTTACTCATTTTCAAAATCAGATCACTGTCTTTTTATCATTAAGATGTAATCAATTTTTTATATATTCTACATACATGTCCCTTGCCATATTTACTTGATAAATTACTTTCTTGTAGTTAAATTAAGCATTTTTTCTTTAGTTTATTCATTCTGAACTGGAGGTGCAGCTCAGTGGTACAGTGCTTGCCTAGCATGTTCAAGGTCCTGGTTTCATCCCCAGGCACAGCCAAAAAAGAAAAAAGGAAAAAAGACCTGTTCAGTAAGGATAGGTCTTCCTCTTCCACCTGCATGACAACTTGAGCAGACCCATCAGTTTCTTCTCTCTCAAGTAATAGAACATCCTACTTTTAGTTTAAGAAATAAAACCTGCTTTCTATAAATAAAATCTTTCCCACCTCCCAGCAGGGCCCTTCTGTGGGCAGAATTACAGGCAAGGAGCTTGTTCCCACTCCCTCTCATGTTTTCCCAGCCAGTATGCTACCACAGTATGGGAAAGGAGGAAAGTTTATACTGGACTGGAGTACTGGAATGGTACTCTGATAAAATGGTATCATACCTGCTGGGTTTATGGGCATGATGTTTCAAAGAGACACTTTCAAATCCCTCATGGGAATGTTTGGCCACAGGCAATGAATTTTCTCTATTTCTTCTACCCCAACCTTGGTTTTCCTTCCATCCACTCCACATGGCTGCTTGCTATTGGAATCCTATCAATCCTCCAGTAAGACTTTTTAGGAAGGATCTCTTTTAAAATGATTTCAGGTGTCAGGTAGGGGTACAACTGTAATCCCAGCTACTCAGGAGGCTGAGGCAAGAGACCATAAGTTCAAGGCCCATCTCAGTATCTTAGTGAGACCCTACCTCAAAATTCCAAAAACAAACCCACCTGTTTTAAAAGCACTGAAGATGTAGTTGAGTGGTAAAGCACCCCTGTGTTCAATTCTGTATGTGTATATATATAGTGTATGTATATATGTGCATATATATATGTATAAATATATATTCTATACATCATATATATAGCATATATATAAAATCTCAGGCCAAACTTCTTAGTGTGGATTCCACATATATTCTCTGAGGGTCATTTAACTTAGAAAGACTGGTTGAAAGACAAGACACCACCTTGCAACCATAGCCCTCCTCTCTGCTGCCATGGAGTGCTTTCCTCAAGTGGAAGTTGCTACCAATCCAGTGGTGGTCAGGAGCATCCAACAAGCTCTCAGAGGCCTAGAGAAACCTCTGCCATGATTTGGATATGACTTGAATATACTCCACCCCAAGTCTTCATGTGTAGAAATTTAATCTATGATGTTTAGAGGTGAGGCCTTTGAAAGATGATTGGGGTAAGATATGGGCATTTGGATAAAGCCCCCATTATTGAATCCAAGTGGCTTTATGAGAGTGAGACCTAAAGAGACACACATATACTCCCTGTCTCTTGCCATGTGATGCCTTGTGCCACCTCAGGACTCTGCTAGCAAAAAGTGTTCAATAGGGCTAGACTAGTCATGGAACGATCTGTGGGAAGAACATCCTTGAACAAAACACATGCAGTTTGCAGGCAGGATTCATAGTGTAGCTCTGTATAAACAAATCCTCAAAAAGCCCTCCTTGATCTTTAGCCACTTAACTTCTTTATACTTTTTGGAATGAGTGTCTACCCAATCCTCAACAATTTACTTTGAAATTTTTATACTGCAGTCTTCATAATTGATTTTGGTATCAGTTATGTGTCTTGTCTTATATATCAATCACAACTTTTTATTCAATATCCCTTCAAGTAATATGTAAAACAACTAAAATATACCAACCTATTTCAAGAAAATTTTTCCATTTATTGTTAATGGGCTCTGTCCAATGACATGATCTCAGCTCAAAAGCCATTGGAGCCCTGAGATCCTAAGCACCAAGCAGATGTGAGATGTGACCAATAATCTGCATTCTAAGTTCTCCATTCACATACCTGAAGAAAGCATAAGAAATATGAAATCAATTCCAAGGCCAAAGTTCGGGAGGGAGGGAGGGAGGGGGAGGGGGGAGGGGGAGAGAGAGAGAGAGAGAGAGAGAGAGAGAGAGAGAGAGAGACAGAGAGAGAGAAAAGATTCCAAAAACAATTACAAAGTACAGACAGAGTATATGTTATGGTTTCGATATCAGGTGCCCCCCAAAAAACTCACATGTGAGACAACTGCAAGAACATTTAGAGGTGAAATAATTGGGTTATGAGAACCTTAACCCAATCAGTGTTAATTCCCTGACAGGGATTAACTGAGTGGGTGAGTAGGGCATGGATGCAGGAAGTGGAACATTGGGGATGTGCCTTTGGGTGTATATTTTATATCTGGCAAGTGGTTTCTCTGCTCTCTGATCATCATGTGAGCTACTTCCCTCCACCAAACTTCTGTCATGATATTCTGCCTTACCTTGAGTCCCAAGGAATGGAGCTGGTGTCTATGGACTGAGACCCCTAAAACCATGAGCCCCCAAAATAAATTTTTCCTCTTCTAAAGTTGATCTTGTTGGGTTTTTTCATCATAGCAGCAAAAAGGCTCACTAAAACAGTATATGTCTTCCAAATTTTTGATATATAGTAAAAACTGGTACTATACTTTTTTAAAAAGTCTAATGGTCCCACTATTATGTATAATTATAATGCACCAATTTAAAAAAGGTTAAAAGTCTAAGTATCATCTAACCTACTAGGGGATAAAAGCCATAAGTTATCATGATGTGAAAACTTGCAATAGGCCCAGTGGAGAGTGTCATGTAACAT